CCGTACTTCTTCTCAGAGTTGGTACAGCGCTGACACTTCGTCCCGATAAACGCAGCGATGATGTTACAGTACTGACACGGCTTCGGCTACGGCACAAACAACAACCGCAGTCATTAACTCGTTAACGTTCTCATCATAATTAACGCAGCCACTCGTCCGTTAGAGGAACTCACCGTCCCGAACTGCTTAACATTCTGAGCACATTTCTTGCAGATGGTGTTGGTTTTACTGCAAACACAACCAAAACAAATTCAGCACAAACACAAATCAGCAGAACAACAAGAATAAAAATAATTAAAAATACCATCATTACTGACTTTAACTGCTAGAAAATAATTTAAAAAATAAACAAATAACAACAAGAATAAATACTGAGCTACAGTGTATTTCCTTTAACTTTATACTGCTATATTTATACTGAAGACTCCGTAATAATACAACGTAAAAAGCTTGTAATTGGCTGCTTTAATGTGTTTGTTATTGATATATTTATTGATATATTAGCTGTTACCTCTCCTGCTGAAACTCGGTTCTGCAGTAGGTGCATTTAACGATGGGATGAGCGATACGGCACTCCTGCAGGAAAATAAATCAAACACAGATCAGCTGACGTTTGGTGCAGGTGTGAACACACTTATCTGTCTCCGCCCCTTCAGTCTTCTCTCAGCCAGTCAGGAGTCAGAGTGTAGCACTCAGTGCTACAGCTGATCCATCTGGTTTAGTTTGAAGAGCGGTCCGATTTCTCTCCGGTCTGATCCTCCTGCAGTCCGGCTGCACTGAAGCACTAAACTATATACACCTATATCCACAAACCTAAACCTGTAAAGACCTGAGCTTCGGTTTCCCAGATAAGTGTTAATCCTAGTACTGGATTACACAATAAAAATGAGACTTAATCCCTCAAACCCCCCAAACACTAAACCCATATAGCCCTCAAACACTAAACCCATATAGCCCTCAAACACTAAACCCGTACGGCCCTCAAACACTAAACCCGTACGGCCCTCAAACACTAAAGCCGTACGGCCCTCAAACACTAAAGCCGTACGGCCCTCAAACACTAAACCCGTACGGCCCTCAAACACTAAACCCATATAGCCCTCAAACACTAAACCCATATAGCCCTCAAACACTAAACCCATATAGCCCTCAAACACTAAACCCGTACGGCCCTCAAACACTAAACCCGTATAGCCCTCAAACACTAAACCCGTATGGCCCTCAAACACTAAACCCGTATGGCCCTCAAACACTAAACCCGTATGGCCCTCAAACACTAAAGCCTTACGGCCCTCAAACACTAAAGCCTTACGGCCCTCAAACACTAAACCCGTACGGCCCTCAAACACTAAAGCCGTACGGCCCTCAAACACTAAAGCCGTACGGCCATCAAACACTAAAGCCGTACGGCCCTCAAACACTAAACCCGTACGGCCCTCAAACACTAAACCCGTACGGCCCTCAAACACTAAACCCGTACGGCCCTCAAACACTCTTCCCACCATATATACTGTACTTGGCTGTTTACATATAAATATCCACATATACACTCACTAACTCACACACACACACACACACTCTCGCTCTCACACATACCAAGTATCTGTTTATATTTACACTCAGTCTCTCTCTCTGTCTGTACAGTCTCAGTCTGTCTCTCTCTCTGTCTGTACAGTCTCAGTCTGTCTCTCTCTCCGTCTGTACAGTCTCAGTCTGTCTCTCTCTCTCTCTCTTTGTACAGACTAAGTCTCTCTGTCTGTCTGTACAGACTCAGTCTGTCTCTCTCTCTCTATCTGTAGTCTGTCTGTCTCTCTGTACAGACTCAGTCTGTCTCTCTCTGTCTGTACAGACTCAGTCTCTCTCTCTCTGTCTGTCTGTACAGACCCAGTCTCTCTCTGTACAGACCCAGTCTCTCTCTCTCTCTGTGTACAGACTCAGTCTCTCTCTCTCTCTCTCTCTCTCTGTGTACAGACCCAGTCTCTCTCTGTACAGACCCAGTCTCTCTCTGTACAGACCCAGTCTCTCTCTCTCTCTCTCTCTCTCTCTCTCTCTCTCTCTCTCTCTCTCTGTGTACAGACTCAGTCTCTCTCTCTCTCTCTCTGTCTTTCTCTCAGTCTCTCTCTCTCCTCCCCCACCTTGCAGAGTTGCTGTCCCTGCGAAAGCTCCTCGAAGGGGAATCGCTGGTTGCATTTGGTGCAGGCGTACAGCGCGGGGGTCGCCATGACGGACAGTCGGAGATCCTGTGAACTCTCTCTCTCTCTCACACACACACACTGAGATAATCTCTCTCTCTCCGAACACACACTCCGCTCGCGCTCTGACGGTGTGTGTGTGTGTGTTCTGCTCCGGCTCTCCGATCCGAACCGGAACTGACCCGAGCCACAAAGGAAAGAGCCGCCAGCCAATCAGCGGCGGCGGAGCTCCGGGGTTTGAATGAGCGCGACCAATCAGGCGCGTCTATTTAAATCGCCCCACCCGCTTTCGGTGACGTCGCTCGTGCGTAAACGGATCGGCTCCGTGCGTGATGACGTGGAGGCCGAAAACAACAGGAAGGCCTGAACGGAGGAACAGAACAGAGTTCATAATCAGTCAGAGATATTAGCGATAATCACAGTTCATAATCAGTCAGAGATCTTAGCGATAATCACAGTTGATCATCAATCGGGAATATTAATGAATTAATAAAGCACCGTTATAGCTGTTTATAATCACTGCTCAGTGTTCAGTAATAAAGCTGGAGCCTCCTGATCTCTTCTTACCGTTCCGCACTGCTTTACACTGAAAACACCTTTATGAAGAGCAGATCAGTGTTCCTGTAGCTTCGCCGCCACCAGGACATTTACGCTGACGATTAATGATTAATCACAAACTGTGATTAATGATTTTAATGATCTTTTGTTTGTTTGCAACGATTAAAGTACAAGTATAAAGTGGCCACATTAGCTGATAAGCCTCCTTATTGGCTAACTGTGTTTACTGTAGCAGTTAATACTGTGCACGCGCGCGCGCACACACACACACACACACACACACACACACACACACACACACACCACAGTTACAGAGAATTATGTTTGAAATTCAGCCAAGCTACAAACTTCTTCACCAAAGTGAAAATACAAGCAAAAAATCACACTCAAGCTACTTGCCATTGTGCTAAAAATGTAGTAAGCCCTGCTAGAAAAACCAGCAAACCAGCATATGTTGTGTTTTGGATGCTGGTATGTTGGTCAACCAGTATGAACTCGCTGGGTGACTAACTGAACCAGCACCAGACCAGCATAAATCAGCTTTAGACCATCTTAGACCATCATAAAACAAAACTAGACCAGCGTAGACCGGTTTAGACCAGCATAAACCAGGTGGTTATCTTTCACATGGTGGTTATCTTTCTCTTGGTGGTTAGCTTTCGCTTGGTGATTAGCTTTCTCTTGGTGGTTAGCTTTCGCTTGGTGATTAGCTTTTGCTTGGTGGTTAGCTTTCTCTTGGAGGTTAGCTTTCTCTTGGTGATTAGCTTTCTCTTGGTGGTTATCTTTCTCTTGCAGGTTATCTTTCGCTTGTGGTAAGCTTTCGCTTGATGGTTATTTTTTGCTTGGTGGTTATGTATCTTTTGGTGGTTATCTTTTGCTTGGTGGTTATCTTTCTCTTGCAGGTTATCTTTCGCTTGTGGTAAGCTTTCGCTTGGTGGTTATTTTTTGCTTGGTGGTTATGTATCTTTTGGTGGTTATCTTTTGCTTGGTGGTTATCTTTCACTTGGTGGTTATCTTTCGCTTGGTGGTTATCTTTCGCTTGGTGGTTATCTATCTCTTGGTTATCTTTCGCTTGGTGGTTATCTTTCACTTGGTGGTTATCTTTCACTTGGTGGTTATGCATCTCTTGGTGGTTATCTTTCGCTTGGTGGTTATCTTTCGCTTGGTGGTTAGCTTTTGCTTGGTGGTTATCTTTGATTTGGTGGTTATCTTTCACTTGGTGGTTATCTTTCACTTGGTGGTTATCTTTCACTTGGTGGTTATCTCTTGGTGGTTATCTTTCACTTGGTGGTTATCTTTCGCTTGGTGGTTAGCTTTCGCTTGGTGGTCAGCTTTAAATTGGTGGTTACCTTTCGCTTGGTGATTAGCTTTCGCTTGGTGGTTAACTTTCGCTTGGTGGTTAACTTTCGCTTGGTGGTTAGCGTTTGCTTGGTTTACACAGAGTTTACATTGAAAGAATGTTGATAAAATCCAGGAGCCTTTTAGAGAAATTCACAGAACACGGTTTGTACACTGTGGCCTATAGGAGGGAGATTAACCTACTTACAAAGAAATCACAGATTCAGGTTCAGCTGGGCTCCAAATGACTTTCATCTCAGATCTTCCCAAGAATTCATCAAACTGCAGCTAAAAGTGAGTTTTTCATCATTAAATTCAGACTTGTTGTCTGTCAAGACCCCAGCAGGAGCTCTCAGCCCCACCCTGACCTCAATGCACACCTCTGTATCTTAATCTGCACTCTGAAAACAGACGGTTCTTCAAGCGTTCTTTAGTAAAGACAATGGTTCTTTATAGAACCATAAAAACTCAGAACCATTTGCATGCTTAAATGGTTCTCTGCATGGTGAAAAGATTCTTCAGATTGATGGAGAATGTGTTGTATGTGGTTCTGTGTATAACCTTTTTAAAAAGGTTATACTCAGGGTCTATGTAGCACCAAAAAAGGTTCTAACAAGGTTAGATGTAACAAGGTTGACATCATAAGAACAGCAGCATCATAGAACCATATGAACCATATAAAACACATTGTACATTAATCTGAAGAACCATGCCACCGTGCAGAGAACCATTTAGGAGTACTCATGGTTCTTTACAGAATCAGTCTTTATTAAAGAACCCTTGAAGAACCATCTTTTTCAGGTGTATCAGACCTGATTAACGAGCTCCTCCAACACTGAAGCGCTGATTTAACTGTGAGTGAAACAGGAATTTACAAAACATATCTTGGTTAGAAACATATCCTTACTGGTTCTACTTGATCTTAGTGCAGCTTTTGACACAATAGACCATTCCATTATATTAGACAGGCTTGAGAAACTAGTAGGAGTGACAGGTGAAGCTCTTTCGTGGTTCAAATCTTACCTTAGTGATCGCTTTGAGTTTGTTAATGTAAATGGTGAACTATCAGCTCTCACAAGAGTAAAGTATGGTGTTCCACAGGGCTCTGTTTTAGGACCCATGTTATTTACCTTATATATGCTACCACTAGGTACCATCATTAGAAAACATGGCATCAGTTTCCACTGCTATGCCGATGATACACAATTGTACATTTCAGCTAAACCAGAGGACAAAACTGAACTTAATAAGATAGAGGACTGTGTCAAAGACATTAAAGACTGGATGTCAAGTAACTTCCTCTTACTAAACTCGGACAAAACCGAAGTCCTTCTTCTTGGTCCAAAAGCTGCTAAGAATAATCTGCCTACATTTACTCTTAATCTCGATAGTTTCTCAGTTGCACCAGGCACATCTGTAAAAAGCCTTGGTGTCACCATTGATCCCAGTCTGGCCTTCGATGAGCACATTACCAATATTACCAGAATAGCTTTCCTCCACCTGCGTAACATCGCTAAATTACGAAGTGCACTGTCGCTACAGGACGCAAAAACGTTAGTTCACGCCTTTATTACGTACCCCTTTTGAGTCTGGTTCCTCTCGAGGTTTCTTCCTCCTGTTGAGGGAGTTTTTCCTTGCCACTGTCGCCAAGGCTTGTTCACTGGGGGCGTGGACCCGGATTCTCTGTAAAGCTGCTTTGTGACAACATCTGCTGTAAAAGGCGCTATATAAATAAATTTTGTCGTTTGAACTGTATTAGTGTGTCACACTGTGTTGGACTGTGTCCGAGCTCTGTGTGTCGTACGGAACCATTTCATGTTGTACTGAACTGTATCACAGCGTATCGTATTGATTAGTATCAGACTGTATTGAACTATACTGCGTGTGTATACATTTATATATATATATATGTGTGTGTGTTTGTTTATTTTTGTCGTTTTTCAGCCTTTGAGATGCGAAAACGCCTGTTGACCTTTATGTTGTGAGTAAATTTCATGATTAATGAACCAAAATTACTTGGGAAAAAGTCTGATATACTTAAATCAGAAGTAAAGGATGTTTTTTTTCCTCCTCCAGCTGTAAAGTTATCATTTAGGACATTTGAGGTTTTGTTCTGGCATTTTACACAGATCAGGCTTAACATTCTGACCTCCTCCTTGTTTCTACACTCATTGTTCATTTTATCAGCTCCACTTACTATATAGGTGCACTTTGTAGTTCTACAGTTACAGACTGTAGTCCATCTGTTTCTCTGATACTTTGTTAGCCCCCTTTTACCCTGTTCTTCAGTGGTCAGGACCCCCATGGACCCTCACAGAGCAGGTACTATTTGGGTGGTGGGTCATTCTCAGCACTGCAGTAACACTGATGTGGTGGTGGTGTGTTAGTGTGTGTTGCGCTGGTCTGAGTGGATCAGACACAGCAGTGCTGCTGGAGTTTTTAAACAGTGTCCACTCACTGTCCACTCTATTAGACACTCCTACCTTGGCAGCCCACCTTGCTGTTGCTGGATATTTTTGGTTGGTGGACTATTTTCAGTCCAGCAGAGACACTGAGGTGGTTAAAAACTCCAGCAGCACTGCTGTGTCTGATCCACTCAGACCAGCGCAACACACACTAACACACCACCACCACGTCAGGGTTACTGCAGTGCTGAGAATGACCCACCACCCAAATAGTACCTGCTCTGTGAGGGTCCATGGGGGTCCTGACCACTGAAGAACAGGGTAAAAGGGGGGCTAACAAAGTATCAGAGAAACAGATGGACTACAGTCTGTAACTGTAGAACTACAAAGTGCTCCTATATAGTAAGTGGAGCTGATAAGATGGACAATGAGTGTAGAAACAAGGAGGTGGTCAGAATGTTATGCCTGATCGGCGAGCGTGTGTGTATATATATATATATATATATATATATATATATAAATAAAAGGAATTTAAATGATTACTAAATGTTAGTAGACTAGGCAATATTATTTTCATTTTCTATTAATAGTACCTCATTTCACCATGAGCTGCACTACAGTTCCCAGCATACACTGCAACGTAATGTGTGCTCCCACCCCTCCCCAACAAAGATGCCAGGTGTCCAGTTCAAGCGAATGGGCAGTTTTTAAAGCCTGCTGCACAATGGGGACATCTAGAGCTTTAACAGTCTCTGCAGCTGATGTAGTTTAGTGTTTATATAAAACAACTTGTTTTTATTTACAAGTATTTTTAATTGCTGTTGTAGTTGTGGCATGTTGTGAATAAACAACTGCCTGTTAATTAAAAACAAAATAAAAACACAGCTGCCCACAGATCTGTCGGGATTTTTTAATGTTGCTCCTTTAGTGGTTGAGTTTGACGCCCCGATTTAGACCAATCAGAACAAGTTCTGGAGCCTGAATTTAGTTGTTGGTCATGAATGAATGAGTTTAACTCAGGAAGCAGAGACTGGAAACACAAACAAACACAAACACCTTCAATCACTCCACTCGTTTATTGAGGAATGTTAAGACGTCAGCGTTCGTTAGTGTGCAGAGCCCTTCACATCCGCAGTGTTCTCACATGTAATCACTCTTACGCCCACTAAGGGGCGCTCTGCTGCCTCCTTACTGCTCCTAAACCAACAACACTACTGCAGAACTACATTACCCACGATGCATTGCATAGCACTGTAAGTCCCGCTGGCCAGAGTCACTGCAGCAAGAATCGGTCATGCGCACATCTTTGGATCAGGACCGGCGGGTCTGTTCAACAGCTGTCAATCATGCGTCAGAAGCAGAGAGGCGGAGCATATCAGGAGTATGGTAATGAGACTGCTAAGGTGATTAACATGTTAATGTTCTGCCTTCTGATTGGCTTCAAGTATATAAAAAGCTTGGAAAGGTTATGAAGTGTAGAGTATAAAATATAGACGTGTTTATTTAACTGCACTTCGCCTTTTAAAGTTTAGTCACGTTAGTTTAACACAGACACCAAATAAACTGCTCATTTAAATATGCAAATCTAACACATTCATATTCAGATGACCACACTGCTGCGGTCACGTGATTCTCTCAGTGCTTTAGTGGAAAAAGGGGCAGACTGAGATAAACATACAGTACTGATCATAAAGGCCTAATAACTGTGTTAATACTAGTGTAGTAATAATGTAGTAATAAAGAGGTTATTACACCCAGCTGAGAGGTCAGCATACTTCAGTAAAGCTTCAGTAACAGAGTGTTCAATACAGCTGATCTGAGATCAGAGAGAGAGAGAGAGAGAGAGAGAGAGAGAGAGAGAGAGAAAGAGAGAGAGAGAGACAGAGAGAGAGAGAGAGAGAGAGAGAGACATGGACAGACAGACGGACAGACAGGCTCTGTCCAATCAGGTCCGTCTCTGCTGTGCTTCATAAGTCCCTTATCCAATCAGACGAAGGTTTGTACAGGAGTGATGGAGCGAGTCGGTGACCCCGCCCTCTCAGAGGATGCTGAGGCCCGACTGGCTACTTCCCGCTGGAGCTCCTCCACCCTCTTCTGAAGCTCCGCCCTTTTGGCCAGCAGCTCTTTATAGCGCTGATGTACTGGCTGCTGAGGACAGACAGACAAACAGCAGCTCAGAAAAATACTGACCTCAATGACCTCCACTGACCACTCTGGCCACTGGTGTTTCTGATAAAGTGGCCAGCAAAGGAATAAGGGGGTGTTTCTGATAAAGTGGCCATTGAAGGAATAAGGGGGCATTTCTGATAAAGTGGCCAGTAAAGGAATAAGGAGGTGTTTCTGATAAAGTGGCCATTGAAGGAATAAGGGAGTGTTTCTGATAAAGTGGCCAGTGAAGGAATAAGGAGGTGTTTCTGATAAAGTGGCCATTGAAGGAATAAGGAGGTGTTCCTGATAAAGTGGCCAGTTAAGGAATAACAGGGTGTTTCTGATAAAGTGGCCAGTGAAGGAATAAGGGGGTGTTTCTGATAAAGTGGCCAGTTAAGGAATAACAGGGTGTTTCTGATAAAGTGGCCAGTGAAGGAATAAGGGGGTGTTTCTGATAAAGTGGCCAGTGAAGGAATAACAGGGTGTTTCTGATAAAGTGGCCAGTGAAGGAATAAGGGGGTGTTTCTGATAAAGTGGCCATTGAAGGAATAAGGGGGGTGTTTCTGATAAAGTGGCCAGTGAAGGAATAAGGGGGGTGTTTCTGATAAAGTGGCCAGTGAAGGAATAAGGAGGTGTTTCTGATAAAGTGGCCAGTGACGGAATAAGGGGGTGTTTCTGATAAAGTGGCCAATGAAGGAATAAGGGGGTGTTTCTGATAAAGTGGCCATTGAAGGAATAAGGGGGTGTTTCTGATAAAGTGGCCAATGAAGGATAAAGGGGGTGTTTCTGATAGTGGCCAGTGAGTAAAGGAATGAGGGGGTGTTTCTGATAAAGTGGCCATTGGTGTACCTGTGGCCTGACGCGGGGGTTCCAGCGGATGTAGTACGAGACCCACAGCTGAAGGTGTCTGATGGAGACAGAGGGCAGCAGGACGTGGGCGGGGTAGTGGACGTACAGAGGGTTAATAAACTCGTCCACCTGACTGTTCACGAATGACCAGAGAGAAACTGTCCGCTTCGCCAGCTCCTACGGAAACACACAGAGGGAGAAGCTGCTATGAGGCTAACTGGCTGCTATGAGGATAACACTACTTGTTATCCGCATAAACTATCGCTTTAATGATAATAAATTAATGATCTTTATTAAGTGTTTAGATTCTCTGGTTTGGCTTTTTAGCCATCCATCTCTAAAAATGGTAACTTGGCAGAAAAATCCAAAAACATCCAAAAAGTATGTGGACACCTAACGACTGAGTGAGTGTTTCAGACACACCCATCGCTAACAGGTGTATAAATCACGCACATAGCCTTACAGTCTCCATAGACAAACAGGTCGTACTGAAGAGCTCAGTGACTTTAAACGAGGCCCTGTCATAAGATGCCGCCTCTGTCTCAAGTCAGTTTGGAACATTTCAGCCCTGCTAGATCTGCCCCAGCCACCTGTAAGTGCTATTCTTGTGAAATGGAAGCATCTGAAGAGCTGAGCTTCATTAAATGGGTTTCCATGGTGGAGCAGCTGCACACAAGCCTAAGATCACTATGCGCAACGCCAAGCGTCCGCTGGAGTGGAGTAAAGCACGCCGCTATATCTGTATCTGCCTGGTGAACAAATATCAGATACATGTGTGTGACAATCGGGTGTCCACATACTTCTGGCCATATAGTGCATGTATATTGTGAGATTATGTCGATGTGAGACTCACAGGGTGGATTCCTCACACGCAGATGTTAATGTTAAAGTGACCCACTGACCTCTTTGACTCTCTGCTGCTCACTGTTACAGAGAAACGTCCCAAATAAACAGCTGTACAGATGATCCAGCACCGTGATGAGGAACGACTCGTTAAACTCAAACGCTGCAGGGAACTGAGAGAGCGCGAGAGAGAGGGAGTCACCGTTAGACGCAGCACTTCAACAGTTCAGTATCTGAATGGCACTGCCGAGTGGGCGGGGCTAAAAGATGGTTACTATGGTCACTAACCTGTTGAGTCATCTGCCACACGCAGTCGATGAACTGCAGGAAGATTGGAGAGCGATCAGCATCCGTGTGGTTCTGATCACCGTGACCCACTCTCTACAACACACACACACACACCCCCACACACACACACACACACACACACACACACACCCCCACACACACACACACACACACACACACACACAGCGTTTGCTCTTTTCAGTTAGCTGCGTTAGCCAGCGCTGATATTTAACTCTATGTTAAAGATCTTTATGATCTACAGTGATGGACGTGAACTAGGCTGGAGACGTGAACAGTGGTCAGATTTTTGTCCGTCCTGTCCGGCTCTAGACTGAGTAACTGTTAAGGTGGCACCTGCTGGAATCTGTGTCCGAAGCTGATCCACTCCTTCTCGATCAGCTTCTGGAAGCCCGAGATGGTTCTGTAGTGCGAGTCCAGCATGATGAGGCTCAGCGAGGTCAGTTGGGCCGTTCGGTCCCAGCCGTCGCTGCAGTGGACGACAACCGATGTCTTCCCGGACTCCACTTTATCTGCTATCCTCAGCGCACCGGCCAGGATCAGCTACACACACACACACACACACACACACACACACACACACACACCACCATCGTCATCATCATCATCTCTACCCCACGTCTGCTGTCTGATTCAGAACAAATAAAAATACAAATCAAATTCTCCCAGTTTGATCCCAAACGCAGCCGATCAGCTTCGACACGGTCGCTGCTCTAGTTTTAGCACTGGAGCTACGAGGCTAATGTAGCTAACAAATAATGGAAGCTTATACTCCACCAATTAGCATGGAGCTAACAGACACACCGTGAGTGAAACTGGCTTCCTATTCGCCGGCTTCTTATTCGAGGTTTATGTTCCACCTTAAACGGTGCAGCAGGTACAGCAGCAGCCTGGGGTGGCAGAACGTCACCGCGGCGCTATTTAAGGTGGAACGGAGACTCTGATTCAGAACTCCAGCTACATTTGGAGAAAAGGGAACCGTGTAAAGTCTTATTTCTCTTCACCTTGATGTGCTCCAGCCAGTGAGTGGACTCCAGGTTGGACAGCCAATGGGATTCTTCGATGTTGGGGTAAACCACCTCCTTCAGTTTCCGCAGCGACTCGCGCATCACGTGGATGTTGTGGATGTCCAGAAACACCAGCTCGGCGTTCTGGTAGGCGTCTTCACTTTCACACCCACCGCCCTTCATCTGAACACACACACACACACACGTTACACACGTAACACACACACGTTACACACACACACGTTACACCCACACACACACACATTACACATGTTACACACACACACACACACGTTACACACACACACATTACACGTTACACACACACACACACACACTCCATCAGCTCCAGATCTTGTTTGCTAAACTGTTTCTAAACCTTTTGTTTGATGTTTTTCCCCCATTTTGCTGCTCTGAGTGGATTAAACTAATAACAGAAATAACAGTTTAATACACGTTCAAAACGTACCTCACGTCATTTATGGTACATGGTTAAATGCAGTGTAGCCTTCATAAAAAACAATGAAGATTTCCTTACGAGAATAATTAAGATTACAATTAAGATTATCTTAAAAGAATATTTGAGAAGTTTTTTTCGAGAACTGAATTTGAGAACATTATGATCGTCTCAGTGTTCGTCTTAAGAACCTTCGCAGGTCTTTTCTTCAGGAAGTTTTGGTGAATCCGGCCACTGATCTTCATTTATAACAACAGATAAAGAGAACCCAAAAAAACGAATAACATACGCAATTATATCGGCTTTATATCGGTTTTATATCGGTGACCCGACATCAAACGTCTTTGTTGGTGAAAGTCTGTGAACCTCCAGAATGACCAGTTTGGTGTTGGTGATA